TTACGTCTACGAACATTCAAAAGAGAACACGTTTGCCTGAGGAATGGGCGGAACGGACCAGTGTTTTCTTTTTCCAATCATTAGTTTCCTTTCTCTTCTATTTTGGAATCACCTGCGAGCTCCCAGATGGCCCATCCCAAAACTTCAAACCACATTCAAAGACTAAAAAGTTTGAATCAATTGGGCACATTTGGGGGCACTTCAGGAGCCCTTGATTGATAATCACTTATTTTTGAACGAAAATCCTGAAATCCAACTTGGAAAGGTTAGAAGAAGCTAACCATAAGTTCGAACACTTTCATACACCTACTGAACTGGTAGAATCCTAGGGTTTCGTCGGGATGATGGGAAGGGCCGGAAATTTTTCTCGCTTCATCTCTCTTCCCCAGTATCTTTCGAGCGTGGATGGAGGGCGATATCAAGGCACCCAATAACCTATAAAATACAAGAAAATTGCCATTACTCCGTCCCAGAAGGGGTGTATAGCACGTCAGCAAGTAGCAACGAACAAGAGAAAGAATGTTAAAGGTCTTATGTTGGCCTTACTCCCATCTGAGGAATTTTCAAAAAGCATTTGAATTTTTAAGAGTCTTTCTATCACTTAATTCGCGAAAGATTGCTGTTTCCACAAATTGGAGCTCAGCCTACTTTTTGTCGCCTTATTGTCTTTATTAACCTGTAGATAATTCAATATCTTGCCCATTAAAACTCAATCGAAAAGATTGTCGTTTTGGTAAAGATTGGTTATAATGTTAGATCCCGAGAAGGTGTAGTGGCAAAAAGCACGCTTACCAGGCATTTTGCCACTACACCACTACAAGCAGTCCATCGGTCATTCGGGATCGGCTACCGCCCTTGTCAACCACGCCTTCTACCCTCAGAGGACAGTAAGTTGGCTGAGGCAGAAAAGGCGTGTTGACCAGGGCGGTAGCGCGATCCGCCGATTAGATTCTTCTGGGAGGATATTGAACAACAGAGCTTGTGCAGTAGCGGAAGACTACACCTTTATCCTTTTTTACCATCCTAGGCAGTGGCTGCCGGGACCTACTTAGCAATAACTTCAGGCCTTTGGGACAGACTGAAAATGTGGGCGCGGGTTAAGTACAGAGTCATCACCTGCTGGAAGTTGGGAGGTGACGACGTCTCCAGACAGGTCATTAGGGTGCTATGTGACGTCATGGACACGTCATCTATTCCTAACAGGTGAGGTGTTGACTGCGTAGGTTGCTAGGTGGGGTGCCAAAAGAGGCTGTATAGCTGAAGCCAAATTGGCAAAACAGGGAAGAAAATGTTGGAGAGCAGAGCTCATCAGAGAGCATATGTGCTGTCGTTATGAAGCGAATAATCCATTGAGAGTCAATAAAATTCTGAGGGATGGCAACCGAGCGGGCGACAGCCAGCACGCATCACCCGCCAGCGGGTGTGCGCGCGCGAGAGAGGTCCATAAGGACAGATTATTAAAGACTCATCAATCACTAGCGGCGGCCATGTGCAGTCGACATACAAAACAGCTAACAGCTCGAGGTCATCGGACCCTCTTAAGCTGATGGAAAGCGGAAAATGGATGGTGGGGAATCCATCAGGGAGGCAGGCGACACAATGCAATATTCCGCAAGTCGGAAAGGGATGGATGAAACGAGGCGAATCGGAAACCTAGTTCGGGGAGCCCCACGCTCTTCAACCTCATTGGAGATCATGAAGGCTTTTAAATACCTGGTTGGCCCGCGTGGTAGGTGCAGGTTGTAGCTGGCCTTGTTTCACTGGATTTTTCTTCACAATAAAGCCTTGTTCGTTGCCGACGCGGGGGGAGGCCTGGACTTGGCGCGGATCCAACCTGTTCATTACCAATTTTGGTCATCTGCCAGTTTCCGCAATTGGATAACAAGATGGCACCGCGCTAAACCCGACCCCGCTCC